CGCGCGGGCAGGGGTAACGCCAGTTGTGAAATTGTGGACAGATTGTGGTACAGTGGTGGCAGCTTCCAATATCAACAACGATGGCAGAGATGGGCATAAAGACCTTGTCTCATGGGGGGCTGTGGGGAACCCCTCCTGACCTGCAGACTGTGGAGGCAGCATCCGCACTGTCCATTGTGACCTTGTAGAAATAGCAGCTGGAGAAGATGCACGCGGCGCTGAGTCAAAAACATGGCAATTTACCGGATGATATTTTGTTGGAGGGAGAGGAGATCTATGATGAGTGGGAGGAGGAACTATATGAGCAGATTTTCTTCGACAGCTGGATATGAATGACTGAGCAAAGGCGATGACTGCCCTACACGAGTGCGCTGGGATGCTGCCGCAGGTGAAAGACATGTTTGTCAGGCTTCTAGCAAGGAAAGACATTGGTGGTCCACCAGATAGCGTGGCATGGACAACATCAACAACATCAACATCATCAACAACATCAACAATAGCAACAACATCAACCGCATCAACAGCGGCAACAAGAGTCATATTGCCAATCACAACATCTACAATAACAACACCATTATGTACAACAGTAACATCACCGAATATTCCACACTGTGTCCAACAACAAAAGTCATTTGATCAGGATTGTGACGAATTGCAGGAGGATTTCATGGTGTCGGCATCATCTGGCAGTCAGCTTCAGTCTGTCGTAGCAAATAATGGAGATTTGACAGATGTAGGGCTGGCGATCCAGGCGCCTGCTCCGGACGATTTGTTGACATCCGTTTCACTCTCTCACCAACAGTCCACTGAAGATCACAAGGCATCATCATCATCATCTGACATCGATACTTTGACGGAGGTAGGTGATGCGGTTCTACCACTTGTTCTGAAAGTTTTTTTTACAATCATTTCGTCATCTACCCAGCACACTGATGCTGGCAACGACATCATGGGTGATGATTTACCTTACCATGATGATGACGGCAGGGCTTCCTTTGATTTCGCATGGGTTGGCCATCCCCCCCCAGAGCTGCGATGTGGAACAATCGCGGGGGTGGTTCAGGCAGTTGACGGTGGGGAGGGTTGGATTCCATGGATTTGGCACATGTTTTGAATGTGTGTTGTGTTTTGAATGCACTCCTGCGAAAACATCACCTGTCGGGAGTCTTCTTTAACGTAAGGTTTCCCCCTGGTTTTTCTCTGTTGCCTGTCTCGATTGGCATATTTTGTGACTGGCACTGGGTGGGTGGTATGATGGAGATGGGCGAGAGGTTGGTTTGTCGTTTGGGTGGTGGACACTGGATAGGGGGAGGAGATAGGATAATCAATAAGGAATAGATAGAAATCGGGTTGGCGAAATGGCAGGGGATCTGCATGGCAGTTGGCTAAGAATAATAATGATATATGGCGCGGATGTTGCAAACCTTTGCCAGTAACTTCATAATAAAAACTACGTGTGAATGATCTTCGCCAGGTGAACAGCTCAGGATACGGGAGGGTAGGCAGACGACCTCCACTGCTGGAAAATGAGAATCATGGAGCTGGGCTGCGACCTTATGCATGGAGGGGGCCTAGGGTTTGCCGTGCACGGTTATGACTGTGAAGGATTAGGGTAGATTGGAGGACAGTTTGTCACCCTCCCCTTGGCTAGACCTAGATACATGCTGTGACCTGGCTGATAAATGGGCGGACAGTCAACCCCCTCGTGAGAGAGTAATCAATGCTGATCTGCCAGGTATATTGTCTCCGATCTTGTAAGTGGGACGCTGGACCCGGTTTCCCGTAGGTGACACTCCCCACCAATAGATTGGAGCCGTCTATAAACTGGGCCTTGCTATTGGAGGATGCTCGTATCACCTCCAATAGCAGGTTGCCACAGATGTTTCACAAAAAAAAAAAAGAAAAAAAAAAAAGAAGCCCCGTGAATTTTTTGTTGATGGATAATAGAATCGGAATTGGCGTAGGAATTTGCACGTTTCAGACTTTGCATGCAGAATTTTCTTTCGAACTTCTCAATTTCAACTGGCATTTTTGAGTAAATGTTTTGGTGCCTTTTTGAGTTCTGTGCATATGCATCCTTTTGCGCCGTGCTCCTGCATGCACTCTCTTCTCGCTTCCCCAGCCCCCTCCTTCGTGCCATTGGCGGCAAGTTCTGTCTTCTTCTCCCTCTCTTCACACTCTTTCTTCCTTCTTGCTTCCGCTGAATCTTAGTCTTGCCCGGCCCTATCTTCGTAACCTCTTTTCCCGCCTCCATCTATATGTAGGAAGGCCCCGTCGATCCCCAAGTAATCGTAGAAGTCAGACAGCAGAGTGTAAAGAGGCTCTAAACTCCTCACCCTGCAGTCCAATAAGTGGATCGACATGGCCCTGCCACACGTCTTCCCCTTTCTCCTCTCCTGTCTTCTCTATCCCTTCTACGCCCTCCCCTCCCCTTTCCCTCTTCTTCACAACCATAGATAGGGCAAGTGTGTGATAAGCAGGGATCCGTACTTCGCGGCTTCACGTACCCTTTGGAGTAGAACCTGAAGGAAGCCCCGAAACACGGATCTTAGCTGATCAAGAAAAGCGAGGTCCATTTTCCATTTTTGGGGATTATATCCTACAATGTAGATTGAATACTGCTACTGGGCTATCCCATGGTACTCCACCCAGTCCCAAGGCTCAGACCGACATGCGGCAAGGGGATATTTGAGAGATGATCCTTTTTGGGTCAACCTGTTGAAAACCTGGCGTAGACCTCCCCTCCACAAGGTGGGAAGAGGTGCATACGCGGGGTTCTGAGAGTAGGAGACATCTGAGACCACAAAAAGAAAGATTGGGTCACATGAGCCCAACTGAGAACCAAGCTGAAATACTGCCATCACCCGGGGGAAGCATTAGAAACAATCAAAGAGGCAGTCCTATTAGATTGGGTCTGTATACTGCGTAAAGGTCCACAGCTCAGGGAGGGAGACTGGGTCGCACTTCGAGAGCACAAGGACACAGTTGGCAATATAGTAGACGTCCATCCTGATAGAGAAGTCCTGGTCAGCTGCTTTAGGCTGCCAAACAACCATCGCTTAATCAGGATTCTCCCGGCTTAGGACCTATGGCTCCCACCGACAGAAGTCTTCAGGGTACGGGTCCTGAAGGAAAAGGAAGAATGGATGGCCTACTAGGCCAACACCCCTGTCTCGCACCTAGCGTGTGACCCGGAGACACTAGCTTGGACAATACCCACCCCACGGAGCACCGCCCATCAGAACCATTGGCACTCCCTGAACGCTAAATCCACTTCCCGGCTGCTACGTCCAAAACTCAACCTGCGAGACAAAGCCGATTCTCGCTGGATGAGACACCTGAATGTAGCAAAAGAGACCCTGAAAGGAATACAATGGTTTTTTATTTTTTAACTGTATTCTCGCTCTTTGTGTATTGAAGTTTTTTCCTTATGGATGGAAGGTTCGCGTAACAGGGGAGAGCTCCACTCTGCAGGGCCGACGCAAGGTGGGAAGTGACGCCTTGGAGGGGGTGTGAGCAGATTTAGGGGGTTGCCCTGTTCTGGGGTTGGGGTTGGGGTACACATCCCAGCGTGGGCAGATTAGGGTAAAGGGTTGGCAGAGGCATACTTTGGGAGGGAACTGTATGCCTTTGTGGGATAGAGAGGGTGAATATGGATTTGTCCCAAGTTGGGGCTGAGATGCGTTGCCAGCAATCTGGGTAATGGGAAGGAAGAGGGGGGGAGAGATTTCTTCAATCTTCGGTGTAACATGTACTAAGATCCATTACATCTTCTTAATCAGACTATGTCATGCTTATCTGTATTCTTACAATCCTTGGAGACATCTGGGTTTCTTCTCATATCGGACGTAGGATTTTCGAGATGGTAGAATCCTAGTTGTCGCCTTGCCAAGCTGTGGTGTTCTGTGCCTTTGGTTTGCTGACGCCAGAACGACGCTGGCCGGTGCTGGGGCGTAGCCCTGTGACCTGCTGTAGTAGGAGCTTGAGGCCTGGTAGAGAGATCTGGGGATTCATCGAGGGAGGAAGACAATCCGGTGGTGAATTGGGGGGAGCTGCCATGACAACCTAAGGGGCCGGGTATTGTCTAGGCAGTGAGGACATGTCAGCTATGGTAGGTATTGGTTGGGATGATGCTGTCTTTGGAGTTTTGCATTGGGTATTGGGGGGGGGGCTAGAAATTGTTCATAGGTGCGGCTACGTGGTGCGGATGTAGGTTTTACCTTCCAATAGTATTCACATTATTACCGTCATCATCACTGGGCTATGGCTAGGTGTCTGGCTTTCGTATAATCCTAAGCGACATCTACTTTTCCTCTCATATCGGATGCAGGATTTCGGAAGTGGTAGAATCCTGGCGGATGCCTTGCAAAGCTATGGTATTCTGTGCCCTTGATTTGCCCATGCCAGAGCGACTCTGGTCGGTGCTGGGGCATAGCCCTGTAACCTGTTTGTAGAAGGAGCTTGAGGCCTGGTAGAGAGGTCTGGGGAGTTGTCGAAGGAGGAAGACAATCTAGTGGCGAATTGGGGGGGCCTGCCATGACAACCTAAGGGGTCAGGTATAGTCTAGGTAGTGAGAACACCTCAGCTATCGCTGGAACTGGTTGGGATGATATTGTCTTTCAAGTGTTGTTTGGTATACGGGGGAAGACTAGGAGTTGCTCATAGATTGTGCGGCCAGGTTTTGCTGTTATAGTTTATAATACCATAGATTAAAAAAAAAAAAAAAAAATCAGTAGCATCATCATCACTAGTATCATTACCTCGCAAGGGCCACTTGTTAAAAAACAATGGTTTAAACACAGCAAAATCAAACCAGCCAAGCTGGCGTCCCGTCAGTGGCAGATTGAACATAGGTGTCTGCCAACAAACGATCGGTTGATAGACCGCACCCATCTGAAAAAAAAGGGGGTCGGTATGGCTCTGCAGTACGGCCTTCACATCAAGAAAATGGTCGCACACCATAGAGCACATCGTCCTTCAGCTCTCAAGGTGGTGGGATCACATCAGGTGCCAGCTATCTCCACGCAATGGCCCTGGGACTGGAAAGCTCTACTCTGCGAGACCTGGCACCCAGACCAACTGAGCGACTACGAACTCAATATGTTTTACATAGGGAGAAAGCAGTTATGTGGGCCATATGGTGGTGCTACTGCACAATGGAAATGGAAGGAAGTCGACAGGATGGGCCAGAGTTTATAGACTGAATCAGGCAGCACATACAGACAGAGATAACAATACAGTGGGACTCAGCAAAAGAAAAGCTGACATTCATCAACTCTAAAAAAGAAATCCACACAATCACTAAAAATTTCAGCAAAGATTGGCTGGGGGGGGAAGAAGGGAGCAGAATGGCAACAATGATATGGAAAGGGGGGAATGGGGAGGAACCGGAGGATGGGGAGAAACAGGAAATGCTAGTTAGAGACTACACCCTCTCTCTCCGAGATTGGACACTCTCAGACCCCACTGTCCCATTGAGACCCCTCTCAGACTTCCCAGAACTCTTCCCTCCCCCAGAGCTTTCTATAGTGCGATTATCATGGCACGAGGGGGAATGAGAATGAGAGAAAAGGAAGGACAGAAAGCTGCTGGTGCAATAGAGTTGAATTTGGCATCTTGTAGGAGATTGAAGAGGCAGAACTTTCCTAAGCATTCTCATTCCCCAGCTGTTTTGCTGGGGGACGGGCAATATTAGCAACTCAAAGACTACATCTTGTACACGCCTGCTCAGTCAATCCCCTGGGTCCCAGCACAACCAATGGTGGCAGGCCTCAGTGCTGCTCTCCCCAGACGATCTCGGACCTGGTTGTATGTGGGACGCTGGACCCACTTTCGAGCAGGTGATGCTCCCCATTAATAGGTGGAGTCTCCCTTGGGGGCTAGCAGTGATTGCTCTCATTAACACCTCTAGCACCCGCAAGGGATGGTTAAAAAAAAAAAAAAAAAAAAGTTTTTGTACAAAATAGAGACAGCGGACGGTTGTTGTGTTGTTTATGAAGTATTGACAATCAACATCCATGCATAAATACATACAATGTAGGTATGGTCACCGTCATTAGTAATACCAAGAACATGCCAGGAACTGGACATTTCTCTCCTCTGTCTCCACATGCCGTGGATGAGAGATTGGCATGTCCCCTTTGGTCCCTCCTTTCCCTCCCTCCCCCTAATCCCAAAGACGCACGTGCAGATTTCCCCTGCTGCGCCTCAGTTTCCCGCTTTCAACCCTAACCCCAGGGAAATGCATGCATAGTCTCTCAGGAGCATGGGAATGACAGGAGACGAGGATGTATGACAGAATGTGAGGACTCTTGGCCTCTTCAGCGCCCCATCATGCAAGACCAGGCATGACACGGATCTGACCGATAAATCCCTCTGCTGATCCTGAGAGAAGCAATTGGCAGCGCCTTTGGGAGATGAATCACCTGTGTCTGTGCGCAGTTCAAGGTCGACCTGATAAGCCCCTATCTCCAGAAAAGAAAAGAGTGTATCACATTGCTGACTGTCTTCACTAATCAACCAATTGGTTGGCAATGTCTCAGGCAAAGAAAAACTGGTCCAGCAGCAGGACAACAAGACATGATAATGAGGCATCGGCCAGCCAGCCAGCCAGCATATGTAAAATCCTGATGACCCATTTTTTCCCTTGGTTTTCTTCCTTCATCATTTGGAATTAAACTGTAAGGATGGTGACAACAACAGAAAGGGGGGGGTGACGTGTTGCCTGCAATTGCTTCTCGGCTCGGGCTTCTGCCCACTGCAGTTAGAAGAAAGCGGCCTGTCATTTACCTTAATCACAGCCCAAGGTCTCCCTCGTGCTATTTCCCGTGACAGTGTTCACACCGTCAGCCACAGTACACAGCTTCATCCGCTGATCGTCTCTCCAGAGGACATCCGTGAAGTCTGCCCCAGTGATTGTTGCACCGTCAAAGGACGTGTTCCCAGTCACTGATGCGCCTTCAAGGTTTGCATTGGTGAAATTGGCCCTTGGTGCCCTTGCAAGGGAGAAATCGGCGTTACGGAGGTCAGTGTCTGACAAATTTGCTGCTGTCAAATCACTATCAAAGAAGCTCGCCCCTAGTAGCTTTGAACCCTTGAAGTTTGCCTGCCGCAGAATGGAGGTCTTGAAGTCCTGTTTTGTCAGATCCCGCCCGCTGAAGTCTTTGCCTGTCAGATCCTGACCTCTAGTCACTTCTTGTCCATAAGGACCACCTCCTCTGTAGGCAAGGGCCACATTGCCAACAGGATGTAGAACGCAAACAGCCATAGCTGCAGCTGCAGCGGCAGCCACTGTCACAGCCCCAATCCTATGTCCAAGGCCAATCCTTCCTCTTGATGTAGACTTGGTGGTTACCTCCTCGGAGCTCCCACTTGCTGATTCCTCCCTTGGCTGTTCTTCTACTACCTTTTCGTCACTGCCACTACCCATCTCCATGAAGGTGCTGCTGTTGCGAATTGCCCGGACACTTTGCTCTGTTGCAACCACGACATGTCTACAGACGTCACTGCTGCTGCGCTTCACACATCCAGCGCCAGGGACATGACCCCTTGGCTTCCGGAACTCCACTCCTCCCACTATTGGCATGCCCACTGAGCATCTGGACATCTGTGTAGCAGTGAAGGCATGATGCAAACCAACCGCTGCACCATAGGACGACATCCTCACATGCACTGGCTGCAACTCAGCGTACCTTAATATTATGACACTCGCAACTGAGGCAAATGAGGCCAAACGCTGACAGAAAGGATATAAGAGGGCAAGAAACAGCCACAAGAACACCCATGTCCAATGAGCAGTCTATCAGAGGTTTACAGTATGCCGGGACAGCGGAAGAAAGCGTGAGACTGCGGCGCTATTCATCTATCTCAAGAGGTAGCTTCAGAATGTAGCAGCTGTGGAAAAAATTTCATGGCCACCTCCACAAGATGGACATTACTCAAGACTCAAAACAAAATAACACATTTCAAAGTTCAAACTACAATTTTGATGCTGACTTTTGAGTACGCCTGAAACAAGCATGCCATGGAACTTCTCCCTTTTTTTTTCTTTTTCTTTTTTTCTTTTTTTTTTTGGTGCTGATAAGAGCAGACACCACTAGCACCTGGGGAGAGGCTCCGTCTATTGGTGGGGGTATCACCTCCTGGAAAGCGGGTCCAGCGCCCCTCATACAGACTGAAATTGGAGTACATCAGAACACAATTGTGGGGTGTTTCTGCCAGCATTGATTACCCTGGGATCCAGGAGATTGACTGAGCAGGATTTCAGTTGGAAGGGGGAACCTCTTCACCCTAATCTGGCGCCAGATACATCGCTACACACTAGTTCCTTCCTTTCCCTGAGCTATTGAGCCATACTGAATCCATGCTAGCTGGAAACCGGGTCCAGCGTACCATTGCCTGCCTGGGTGCCAGGCAGAGGAAACGGAAGGAGCCACTGGGGGGCACCAGTGGCACCTCCTTTCATCCCCTTGCCTGCCCCAGGGTCCCATTATACATCAAAGGCACAGATTGCTCAGAGTACTCAGACTGCTAGCAGCACTGAGCAGCAAAAAGGAAACAAATATGTGAAAAGATATGTAAGTCAGCGGAATTCTCCCCAGGGGGCCCCAGGGAGGAGTTCCGTATGTGAGCAGATAGATTCTGTATATGTATGTGTATTCAGATGCCTATGAGTGTATAGGAGACTGTGCTAAGTATTTTATCAATCAGGACAGAATCTCTGACAGGGAAAGGACATGAGGTGGGAACGGGTTTAGAAAATCCGAGGGAGGGCGCAATGGGAATGAGGGTTCTATGTTTGTCCAGTCTTTGAAAATTAGACAGTAGTCTCTCATATCTTCCAAATCCGGCTGTCCCTCTCCCCTGTCTCCACTCCATTCCACTTTTGCAATCCATCCTTCTCTCTCCCCTCCTACCCAATCTGTGCAAAAAGCATCTCCAATTTTCCTAAAGAGGTGTAAATGTGCTTTTGTATCTAACGGTTTCTAACCATCTTTGTGTGAGTTCAAAATGCACCTGCTGCTGAATCTGTTCTATGATCTCTGGCCCTTCTACTCTCACCTTCTCCATGGCTAAGGTGCACCTCTGCCACCAAAGTGCCCATATCACCGCCCTCCTTCCAAGTCTGTACATATTCTCTACGAAGGTCGTGGCTACTCCTGTCGGCGGTCAGTGGCCAGCCAATATGGCTTGCCAGGACCAGGGCCAGGGGATTGCCGATTCCATTTTCCTCCATATGCGGTCCCACCATCTCCATATGAATTGGCCGATCGGGCATTGCATGAAAATAGGTTTGATGGTCTCTGCCTTCTTATAGAAAGGAAAAAGACTCTAGCACCACTGGCACCACGAAAGTAGCAGACCTCTTTGTTCTAGATTAGTGCGATCAGTCAGCCAGTCATTGGTTGGCAAACAGCGGTGGGCAATCTGCCACTGCAGGGAGGTGATTTTTATGGGTTTAGATTTTTGTTCCTTGAACCACTGAATCGGTGATAGGAGGGAACAGTCCACATTTAGGTGTCTGGCCCATTGGTTGTTAACTGTGTCTCTCAAACGCCTTTTAGGTCTGAGCGTTTTGTAGGCTGATGCGACCAGCTTTGGGGCCCCCCTTTTCTGGGGGAGCTTCCATGCCCCTTCTGCTGCGTCCAGAGCCAGATCGTGGATTGGTTTGAGAGGCTGAAACACCATCCTCTGTCCCTTCTCTTCTATAACTCTCACTCGGTACACGGATGTTTTCTCTTTCCATTTGAAGGGGGCTCTATTTCCTTGGAGGATGCCTGCTTTGGCGATGGTGTAGTGTTTGACCAGGACAGTTTGAGGTGAGACCGTATGTACCTGGCCCGTCCTTAGTGGGGTTTCCGTACTTGCTACCCAAAGTGGGGCCTCGTTTAAGAATTCGGTACCACGCCAGTGGAATGGCTTCAATTAGGTTATCCAAAAGCTCCTCTACGTGGTAATAGTACCGCAGGATTCCTCGCAACTGGTCTCCTGTTATCCAGTCCTATCTGTCATTGTCTCAGAGATCCCCAACCTGAGCACCCCTCTTTTAACCCAACTTTTCCAGGGCAAGGATGAGCTTGTCATGACCCAGCCACTCGAGTCTATCATCCACCGATTTCCAAAGAGGGGTTGTCGGTAGACTTTCTCCCAACGGTTGGGGTGGGTAATGTCTGGGAGCGGAAGTCTACGCCAGGTTTCCAGCAGAGATGGCCAGAAGTTGTCCATTGCCTGACCACCACCGTCCAGCCCCTCCCTTCCTTGGGGGAGCTTACGTGGAATCATCCAGAAATGGTCCTCCAGCCATGTCAGCGGGTGGATCGTTTAGGGGGGTTTTGGGGCCAGCCGGACTAGGTGTTCCAGAGCTAATACGCACCACAAACACTAAGGGGCGAAGATCAGTTTTTTTATCCATCTTAGTCGTAATGCTTGCACCTGCGTGGTCAGGTCAATTATTCCCAGGCCTCCTCCCACCTTTGGTTGAATAATTGAATCCCACGCCACTCGACTTATTACATTGCTCTGCTCGCCGTCTCCCCTCCATAGGAAGGCCGCTACCAATTTCCTTAGGCTCCTCAGGGCCACAGTAACGACTTGTACCATAATGTTGCAAAAATGAAATTGTTAATTACTAGAGTGCGGCCAAACAGAGATGTGTGTTTGTTTCTCCAATTGTTTAGTTCTTGCTGAGTCGGGGCGCTGATCCATTCGTCATCGGTTGGTGGGCGTCCCTATGTGGTCATAGATACCCCTAGGATTCTTACTAGGATTTCCAACGGCATCCATGGTTGACTGTCATGTTGGAAAACTTCGCAAACTTTTCCATCATCTATTGAATTTGCTACATGTTGCTATGAGTGGCTTCTACGAAAATTGTGAGATCATCCACAAAAAGGGAGCATACGGGGATTGCGTCCTTTGGGATGTGTGTGACTCGGATTCTGGTAATGTTTTTGTTTGCCCGAAGGTTGATAGCCAGTGCTTCCATAATGACCAGGAAAAGGAAGGGAGCAATTGGGTCCCCCTGGCAGACCGACCGCTCCAGGCGTAGGGGCGGTGCCAGGCTGCCGTTGACTTGGACGTAGGTGGTTGCATTCCGGCGCAGGATTTGTATCCCGCGTCTGAAATCTGGCCCAAAGTTCATTTTTTCCAAGCATCTGTCTAGAAACGGCAATCCACATGGTCGTAGGCCTTTTCGAAGTCAATGAAAACCGAATTTGCGTTCTGACGGGAGTGTCTCGTGAGTTGAAGTACCTCGTGGATTAACAGGATGTTATCTTGTATATTCCTATTCTCCATGATGCCTGTTTGGGAGTGATGGATGATGTCTTCCATTACAGGGATCATTCTATTAGCTAAGGCCTTGGACAACATTTTCTATGCTACTGTGAGAAGTGTGATTGGACGGTAATTTCTAATATCCATTTTGTCCCCTTTTTTACATAGGAGGGTCAGTATCCCTTGCCCCACCCTTTCACCCATCTCACCTGTGAGCCATACTTCTTTGTAGAAGCTCATGACGTCCTGGCTAAAAAAATATCATGTGGTTTCCCAAACTTCCTTAGGGAAACCATCAATCCCCGGTGCCTTCTCTTCCTTCATTTGAAGGATGGCGGTCCATATCTCCTGTTTGGAGAGTGGGGCCTCTAAGGATTTGCGTTGTTCATGTGTTAGAGTTTTGTTGACTGGTTCCAAGAATTCTTTAAATTGGCGATCGTGGTATACGTTCCTCACTTATCCACATGCGAGGAAAAAAGGTCTTTATAAAAATCATATGTTATCTTAGTGCATTGGGCCGTGGTCACGACCAGGGCTGATTCCCTAGCTTTTGGTTCGTAGAGTGCCTCGATCATGGTCCTTTTGAAACGTGTTCTAGCTAGGCAGAAGAAGTGAGAATTCATTGTTCCTTTAGTAGAGAATCTGGATAGCCTTCAAGTTGCCCTTGTTTGGGCTCCCTGCCATCGATACTGTGCGCGTTTCAGAAGTTGAGTCTTCAAGTGTAGTTTATGGTTTTGTAGTTCATAGGTACTTGATTCCTGCCCTTGTGAAATTTGCTCTTGTTCTGCATGTATGAGGTTTTGCATTATCGTGATTTCTTGATGATGACATTGTGCAGCTAGATATTTGGAGTTTTCGTTACATTTTTTTCCCATAAAATACAGTCCGTTGTTGAACCATGCGATTTGAGAGTCTTGTTGAGAGCGGTGGTCTTTCCAAAAGTCCCAAGCCTGCTGCAGTATTTCTGGAAGGATTTGAACCGAAGTAGGGAGGTATTGAGTTTATAGTAGCTAGCCCTCTGGTCTCGTTGTTTGCGAAAGGTCCAAACTGCCATGCACATCCTGTGGTCCATAACTGGGTACGGGCTGGTCGGTAATATTGCTGCCACAGTGAGCCCCCCTCCCAAATCCTCTGACGCCAAAATTAAATCGATCCGGGATTTAGACAATCTGGCGGAGTCATTGTTTTGAAAGCAGGTAAAGGCCTTTTCAATTGGGAAGCTGCGCCTGAAGGTGTCGAAAAGCGAGAGGGGAGCACACAAGTCCCTCAACATCCGCTCATCCTCCTCTGTGTTGTGTGCGATAGTGGGGTGGACTTTCCATCGGTCCAACCATCTGTCCGGTGCGGCATTGAAATCTCCTGCTAGAATTATGAGAATATCTGGGGTGGGGACCTTTTAGATTTTTTCAAAAAAGGTTCTCTCACAGGATGTGTCAGGGGCATATAAGGATATAATGCAAA